AAAGAGTGGTTAAACATTGGAACAGGCTGCCCAGGGGAGTGGTTGAGTCACCATCCCTGGAAGTATTTAAAAAACGGGTAGATGAGGCGCTTAGGGACATGGTTTAGTGGGCATGGTGTTGTTGGGTTGACGGTTGGACTCGATGATCTTGGAGGTCTCTTCCAACCTTAATGATTCTATGATTCTATGATTCTATGAAAACAGGTGAGTGTTTTAGAGTGTCTCTGAATGAAAGATGGATGAGATTATGCAGAGCAAAACAGCTGCTGCAGCTTCTCAGTGCTCCAGGCCCAAATTCGTGAGCTGTGATGCTCACCTGCATGTCTCTGAGCAACCGGTGATTCATCAATCAAGCTGAGAGCCAGCGACTGATGTGGGTGGTTGGGGGAGGAGGGTCCTTGGCAACCTGCTTGCGTGGATTTCAAGTTTAACAGTGGAGCTTTTCATTTCTAGATGGCTGAGAGACACCTTGTGGAATGTGGGTACTTATTTTTCTTGCTTTTAGCTATTTAAATTCTAGAAACGAGAATCAGCTTGTGAAGTGCCCATTTATAATAAAACTATAGACTGTGCTTTTGTGTGCTTGAGGCAGATGCAGCTGTATCTGGATGTGGATGGCACAGATAATATGGCTCTCTGAATATTGGGAGGATCAGTGAAGCAAAACTTGGACATTTTTAGTACAACCACTTCTAGTGACAGCCTGTGCCCAGCACCCTGAGATCACACTGCCCAGAAACCACTAGGTTAGACTAAAATCTGCTGTCTCAAGCAAAATTCATGTCATTTTCATGCGCTTCTGGTAGACATCATAAGGAATATCTCAGCAGTCTGTTTGTAGCCCCACTGACAGTCATCTCACAATATCTTTGTGGTTTGGGCATATTTGGTTCAGACTGCAAGGAGATAGGTAAAAAAACAGAGAAAAAATGTAACTCTCAACATTTTGTAGAAACATAAATATGAGGCTGCTGAAGTCCCTGGTGGAGGTAATTAGGGTGTCCTTTTAAGCAAAGAGATTGACCTAACAGGGAGGATGGATGTTGGCAACTCCAAGAGGTTGGGTTAACCCGAGGCTGAGTTGAAGAAGTTGAAGGATGAGAGGCTGATGTGGGGTGCTCTGTTCCCTCTGCACCTCCGCACTCTGCAACAGGCAATCCTGCATGGTTAGCATCACAAGGCCTCCTTGTATGTACTAGGTTGTCCACTTGCTCTAGCTGGCAGATACACTCTCGTCACCGCTAATCAAGGTCAGATCATGGATTTTGAAAGGTTTTCCAGGTGTGTGGCTTGTCGGAGAGTCAGACTTATAGAGTTTAAGAAAGGATGTGGACCCAGGGGTACGCTGCCCAGGAATGACTGTCTGCAGGGGCAAGACGAGGGGGAAGGTAATGATGCCTGCCAGCCCTGCTGAGGGATTTCCAGGTCTGAGCTTTAGCAGAGGGGGAAGGAGGAGTGGCTGGGAAAGCTGACCAGGAATGTCTCTTTGAAGCTGTGGGGGGGTGCAATCTTTCCTGGAGGCTGTTTTTAACAGCAGGTTCTGCCAAGCAGATCAGTCCCCTCCAACACTATGTGTTTTGTACTCCAGATTCAGCTCATTGTGGTGGCTTTTGTCTTTCTCTGCAGGGGTAAAGCGCTGTCTCTCAGAGATGGAAGAAGGCAAAGTAAATCTGGAGAACAACTGCTCACCCTATTACCTCATTAAGCTAATCTACTCCTCTGAAAATTTTGACAAACTCGTGAACTTGAGCAAATACAACATCCTCAATAACAAAGACCTGCTCCTCCAGGCAATCCGGAGTGCCGTAGAACGGAGGAGAAGTAGCAGGACTGGGAATCTCCCCAGTCACTCTGGAGCTGGATACCCCTAGGCTGGGTTTTTGCACTGTTCCCCACTGAAGGCTACAACAGTCACATTACAACACATCACAGTCACGTTATAACATGTCGCAGTCACATTGCAACACATCACAGTGTTCATTATTTGCAGGAAACTCAGGAAACCTGTACATTTCTCATCTTGCCTTTTTCAAGTTCCTAGCTTTCAAAAGGACTTATTTAATCTCCTTCCCCCAAGTTTTCAGACCACAAGAGCCTCACACTGTGGTCGTACTTGTTAAGAAATTAGAGTCCTGGTTAGCAGAGACCTTCCAGGATCTCCCCAATGTTATAGAATATGGTGGTGGTGATAGTGATAGTTCTTCATATGTGCCTGTCCCCTCATTCCTGAGCCCATTGTCAGTGTCTTTTCAATGCTTTGTTACAAACCAAGTCCTGGCCATTTGCATTCAGTAATGTCCAGATTTTCAGATAGGCTGAGAAACTAGAATTTGCACTGAATTGGTGGGGTCAGCTTTGAAGGCAGGCCAAAGAGTCATATATATCTGTGAACAACGGCCAAACTGCAACGTGGACAATTGCATTCTGTCTGGCCGATTCCCCTTGCTGATTTAGAAATTATTCCTTCTTTCCATTCCCCTGCAAGAGTTTGGCACAGAACCGCTGCTCCAGACTGCCACAAGGGGAGCAGTTACATTTCAAGGAGAGAGGACATGAGCTGCAGAGAGCGAGTACGGTTCTTTTGAGCATTGGCTGGAGGAAAAATTCTGCATAAGGCATGAGTGATTATATTGATTTATACGGGTAGTGCCTTTATGCATTAAAATGTCAAGAGCCTGAAACAAGCTTTTGATACCAGCAACCTGAGGGGAATAATTACCATAAACTCAAGTACATTTAATTTAATAATCATGACCGAGACACAAACTGGTGCTCCTTACGTATGTAAACTGAGTGTAGGATAACATAACTCACTAACAGAGTGCATAGCCGTTGTATTTTCACACCCAGAAGATTTTTTCCCTTTACAGTCTTCTATCCCTAACATAATAGGCAAGGTATTTTTAATAGGTGCTATGCTAACATAAAGCACAAATAAAAAAAGGAAATTCTTTATCACACCTCCTTGCTGAAGGAAAATATTTGGAAAAATGATGTCTGGTTTTCATTTGCTTTGGAGTGCAGTGAGAGACTTTGCCCTGAACTAGGAGCATGGAACATCTTTATAGCCCTCCACTATATTAAAAAGATGGTAGAGAAGGATGCTGAGAAATATGAAACAGAGCTCCACAGAAGTCAGAGAAGTTTCCAGACTGCCTAGCACTGAAGCATTTGCACCTGCTTCTGGCTTATTTAATCCAAACACAGCATATTCATCGGGACCTCCAAGGAAAGTCTTAGACATTTCTTCCGTGTTGGAAATTTACTTGATATCTAGAATTAGTTTTACTTGAAATCCAAAATTAGGCAAAGAAAGAGAAACAGGGGTCTGCCTTTTCGGTACATGCAGACAGTAGTCAAGCTCAGGGAGCGCATTTACAAAAGGCTTCATTGCCTGAACCCTTCATCTACTAAATGCTGCTTCTGCTGCAAGCAATGGCAATGAATAAGCCTCAACAATATTCCTTGTGCAATGCTTATTTACTGAGCTAAGGCATACCATGCAAAACCTGAGGAGTCTTAACAGCTGGAACGCAACTCTACAACTGAATTCAGACCATGAGAAGATAAGAACTAATTGGATACCGGCTGCAATAAAAAAATAAAGAGCCATTTTGAGTTGAAAGCTGAGATGGCAGCAGGGGGCTATCTCAGAAGAGAGAGTCCTACCAGCAGGATCTGCTACCTTCGTGTAGGAGAGCAGCACGTCCTGGCACAGTATGCCGTGGTGCAGGTATATGCACATACAAGCACATGTGGCTGTGTGCACGCACATGCTCGGGGTGTGCACTGTTTTCATGCTCCTCTGGCTGGTCCTATTAAAGAAACCCGTTCCTATAACCCGCCCGCACAGAACAAAAACTGATTCCAGCATGACTGTGAAGAGGCTGCATGCTCCCACGTACCGTGGCCTGGTGCACACTGATTCACCGGGGCTCCAGCGCTTGGCCCCACAGCCAGCCAGTGTTTGACCCCCTGCTCACCTCAGCCGGGCAGCAGGAGCGGAAAGGATGGACAAGGAGTGAGTGATGCTGTCGTGCTGCCTGTCTCCATGCCCTCACTGCGTTGGTGTGCTTGGGGTGTCAAATTATTGCTTGCGTCTTCCAGCATTATGCTTTTACACAGGAGGTGCAAAGGGCTGAGCTGGAGGAGAGGGCTGGGCTGTCGTGCTGCCTGACAGCATGTGGGGAGTCCCAATAATAGCAGCCGATAGCGTCTTTTCTGCAGCAGTGGTTAAAAGACTCATTTTAGTCAGGGACACTGGTGTTCTCCACAACAGACTGGGATTTCTTGTGACACTAAACCAATATCTAACTGAATCTGGAAGACTTGGCCTTCAGGAACAGAGATTCAGGGAAGCCCCCACTGAGATACTGCAGATTCGTCCGGAACAAGACCACCAATGATGTTATGTAATTGCCTTTCATTTATGTATCATCCGTATTGTAAAGGGGAACACTGTTTTACCTCAGCTACCTAATTTTTACGTTCTGCTGCTGCAAAAAGATATCCCTGTTTTGTTTATGGGCTACAGTGAGTGATCCGTAACTCTCATGAACATTGGCAGCACGTGCCTAGCAGTGAGGCAGCTCAGCCACACTGAGAAAATCGGGTCTCTCTAAATGCTCCACAGATTGATAACTGGGGTGTGTTTTGTGCATTTGTAGTGCTGCTAATGCAAACAGAAATGCCCACTAAAATGTGAAAGAGCCAAAAAGCCCCACAGGCTTTTCAGGTAACCTACAGTCAGTGGAGATTAACTTTTCTGAGGGACTGTTAAATCCTGTTACAGAGTGAGGGAGGTAGCTGTGGGCAGGGAAGGGGGTGGGAAGGTGGTGTGACTCTCCCTTTGCCAGGAGAACTGTCACCCAAGGTTGTGCCAACACTTAAAGTAGGGCCGGGAACTGCTGTTTAATCTTGCAGCCCAGAGGCACAGACAAGCATGTGCCCCTTGATCTCCTTGGGGCCCCATGTGGTACCCCTGTAGCCTTAAATGATAATGTTTTTTTAAATATATTTTTGCATTTCAGAGCCTGAAATTATGTGAGGGCTGTATTGCCCATCAGGGTGTTTTGGTTTTTTTGTTTTGGTTGTTTTTTTGTTTTTGTAGCATGACATTGAGGGAGTATGTTGCTGGCCTGACAGTGTGGCAGGAGAACCTGGAGGGCATTTGTGAGGTCAAAGGCTGCTGGAGGACTCTGCAGGGAGGAGGGACCCACACCTGGCACAGTCTTATCCATGCAGCTTGTTGGGAAGTGGTGGCTGGCATATGCTGTCCCCCAAAGCACACCTGGGCTCTGGTTCAGAGCATGCTAATTTGTACAGCCCAAAACCCACAAAACTATAGAGCATAGTTGCAGTGACGTACGGCTGAAATGTCGTGTGTTTGTTTCCCAAAGGTTGTATGTTTGTTCCTTGTCCCCGGTCCTGCCTGGCCTTGTGCCACATGCTGTCGAATGGCTGTTTGAGCAGAGCGCGTGAAAAGCAAAGCAGGCACTGCGAGGAGAAAGCTGTCTCTCGGCATCTCACCATAAAAAGGCGTCTGTGAAAAGGCACATGGCATGCTTATAAACCGGGCCTTGCTGTTCTGGCGTTATGTTTGTTTAACCACTGAAGATGAATGCATGTGCGCAAAAACCTCATTTGAAATGCACCCCAGATCACTGCTCTCAGATGAACATTTTGCTGGACCCCCTCCCCCCCCCCAAATACAGAGCTTGCTATCTGCTGCCAAACACAAAGGAAACAAAAGTTTGTTCTTCTAACCGTTAGCTACTCTTTATAGAAATTGCTTGCTTGTGTCTTTTAACCATTTAATAATATATTAATTAAAAATAAATATTGCAAAGGAGCACCAGACCCATGAAAGTCTTTATGCGCTTAAACACAAGACTACATTTTTTCCCAGCTGTGTTAGCACTACTTATGCTAGATGCCTGCTGAGCACTTTGTAGGACATTTACTGGTTCCAAGCTTGGGTGGAAAAGTCAGAGAGCAGATGTTCTGGTTTACAAAGGCATTGAGAGCCTGGAAAAAAGTGGAACAAAATTTGCCTCTTGTGGTAAAACTCTCTTCAGTGGAACGGCACAAGGCAGGGTAGGAAGGCAGCTGAGCACAGCTTTATTTTGCCTCTTGGTGATTTGATTGAAATGTGTACAGAAGTCTGCCTTTCACTGAACTTTGCTGTTATCAATTAAATGGTGAGTTTAAAATACCTAAGTTTAAAAAAAAAGTTTTTATTTTTTTTAAAAGCAGTTAAAAATGATCAGCAATAAAGGAAAATGCACCAGTTTCCCGTTACTTTCATTTGCTGTACTTTTGTGACAGGCAGCGGCTCCAGCAGAGGTACAGCAGATGAGAGAGCTGGACTAGCCAAACAAAATATTAGGTGACCTTGTTGGATGCGAGTGACTGATCTGAATCAGTCTGAACACAAATTTAAACTCTAGATGTTGCATGTACCCATAAAGTATTTACATAAACCTGGTGTTATGCACTCTCCTTCCCTCCCACTGGAAAATTAGTCAATGCAGAGGAGAAGACTGCAAGCAAAGAGCAAGAGTCATGCTTCAGACTGGCTAAAAAAGGACCGAGGCTGAAGTCCTTGTCAGAGGAGTTAAGGACTTGAAGCTTTAGCTTCCATCTGTCAGGGAAGAGCCCTCAGCCGCTACACTGTCCTGGGTGAAAAAAATGCCATTTCTCCCCAGCTTCATGCTAGGTAACTTTTCTTTGGCACAGAAACAGAAATAAGTAGGGGGAAAAAAAAAAAGATATTCTTCCTCATGATTGCACCATACCTTAATAAGTGGAGCCTAAAGTCTAAATGCTTGCAACAGTAGATAGGTATTTAAGCAAACAAAGGGCTAAACAG